CATCCTGCCTAATAACACTCTTATTCGTGAAGGTCTGAAATGTGCTTCAGTTTCAGTATAAGTCAGGTGAAAATTTACATTCAGAGAGTTAAGAAGGGTGTATCCAAGTGAAAGAAATTCTATAGTCTATAAAGTCTCAAGTCTACTTTTCATCACTAGTAAATAGATTTAACATGTTTTAACATTGGCCACGCTGAGAGACTCTCAGTTATTTTAGGCTCATATAAAAAATCTTTCCATGTAGAGGCAAGTTTTTGTGTTTGTTTACATTTTCAAAGCGAGACAAATCTTCAGCTGTATGGTTCACAGCCACTCAAATTGTCTTTTTCTTTAAGTGTTTTTTGAAGAAAGAACACATAAGCTTAGGAGCATTGTTGAGTACAATTAGTAATAGGTACCTCTTTCTTGTGATATAATGATATTTTATAAGATGCTCACACTGTATAGAGGGATAAGTATATAGGTATGATTCTTCTTACGATGATAGGATCTATTCACAAGCTTTTTTCTTGATTTTTATTCTCCCTTGGAGCAAAAATACATGCCACTGTGCAAAATTATCTCCTTTTCAGAGCTGAAAAGGAGGCTCCCAGATATTTTTTCCTTTAWAATAATATTCAGAGAGAAGTTCACAGAAGTTTGGATTTAGGGAAGACTAACAGATAAAAGCCGTTAGGTCAAAATATAAAGAYGATAATGGATGCATATGTTCATCTATAGTTCGATAACCTGTGTTATCGTGAGGTGTCGTCTGAAGTAATCCTCATTTCAGACCCAGCTCAAAGATTTCCTGCAATGTAGATAAATGAGCATCTTCGTGTTTTGAAAAGAAGAGTCAGCAAAATGGGCTGCAGGGAGGCACTGGGAGGAAGGGAAAGGAGTCTGGGGAGCCTGAAGGCTCCGAGAGGGGCTGCGAGGGGAGCGGAGAAGGAGTGGGGGCCCTTGAAGGGAATGGGTACAGGAGAGTAAATGTCTCCCTTAGGCCTTTAAGTGTGTCCAGGCTGAGCAGCTGCTCCCCTGAGCTTGGGACTTGGCGGCACCCTCCTCCTTCCCCAGGAAACCAGGCTTTTTAGAGAAGAGGAACTGATCTGTTCTGTGCACAGCAATACTCGGGACCAAGAGTCCCTTCTGCAGACCTGCGAATTAGAGCTATGCTCTTGATTGTTTTTCAAAGATCATTTCTCAAGAAGGGCGTTTTAATGTCACTGTGAGGTCTCAAAAAAAAGAAGGAAAAGATCTTTGAATGCTGTATGTGGACCTGAATAAATAGATCCATTGAGAGAAAGTTGGAGCAAGTCATTTGGCATGCACGAGCCAAGGACAGGAATGCCCATGTACTCCAGCTCTACTTGCTGCACTTGTATTTTTGAGAGTTGTAGGACAAAACCTACTGTTAATATGGCCTACCTGCTGCTATTGAATTCAACACCAAGTCCACCCCAACATTAGTTTAATTCGCAGAGCAGGGATCACAGCAACACATTGTGTCTCAAATTGGGGAAACCCAGGAAAGTGGGAAYGTGATGGTTCATTTTAAGATGAGATGTGTGAAGGAAGAGCTGAGTGGTTTTATTCTAATAGCAATTGAGGAGAAGAATTAGGCCAACAGATCTGTGTGTTCCAGCACAAACAGTTCATCTGTGGCCTGTCTGACAGGCAAGGGTTAGATCTGCCGTGTATTTATCTTCATCTGGTATAAATCCTAGGGAAATGTCATCAAATGAGGTTGTTGCTTTATGAAAGTTAACAAATTACTATCAGAATCTGTTAAAAATCTACCCTTTAAAAGTTTAGTCAACATTTTTTCATTTTGGACACAACTTTGGTTGCTCTGCAACTGGATTTACTCTGGTAATTGTTGGAGGCCGTTATTAATCAATTTGGCTATGTTTCAAACAAGGTAATTTCCTTATAATCTTATTCTTTTTTTCTTGACAAAATGATTGTCACCAAACTTGATACTGTGACCTAATAATTGCTTTTATTTCTGAATATAGAAATGCATTTTATTTGTGGGGAGTGTATAACGTGGTGATACCAAAAAAAGAAAGCTTAATTGCAAACATAAAACATGCAGATCAGTTCTCTAAAAGAGCCAAATACTTGAAAAGTGGGACTGAGACGTTGGAACCTTTAGCTTGTATTGCTGGACTCTCTAGGCAAATAGAATTGTTCCAACTTTTTTATATCTTATGTTTTGTCATATTTTCTTAGTTTTCTTAATTTTGCACATTTCCATGCTTRACTTTGCAGGTACTTGTTTGAATCAATCACTTCTTTCTGCAGATGCAAGTTTATTTAGGGTGACAAGGCCTCTTTACCATGTCTCTTGTTTGTGAGGTTTGTGTGCAAAGGGATTCCTTTTGACATGACAGAGAAATAATGCAGCACAGTTCAATCACATCCTGAAAAATCATCTCCTTATGAATTTAAAAAATAAATGAAGAACAATATGAGTTTCATAAGGCAGTTGAAGCTTCATTGATGAATGTTTGTAGAATGCTTCAAGAACGTCAGTGGCAAAGTCTTGTGCGAATACAATATTTTATTAAAATATTTAATAAGCAAATTCTCTCACCCAGTAATGGGAACAAAAAATACCTGTCTGATCTTAATTTTTCTTACCCATAATTATTTCTATTGAAGATAATTACCTTAGGTACAGTCTTCTCTTTACAAGGGATAATTATAGTAGAAGTTCCAGCCTCCTTTCTGTGTAGGGATCTCTTTCCCAAAACCCACACCTTGTAGCAATCTGTTTTTCATTTGAAGAGAGTTCTATGGGATTGACATGATTTATGTCAACATGTTTTTAAGTTTGACTGCTTTTGCAACTATGGGTATAGATAAAATRGGAAGCCCTTAGTCACAAACGATAATAATTCGGTCTGGACGATATATTGGAAACATGCAGTGCAGGAGTGGAATCTTTTTTGACTCTGAAATCTARTAGGAGTAACTCCTGATACTACCTATTGTAGCCGAAGGAGGAGTCCATGATTTCTTTTTTGGAAAAGAAATTCCCTCTTCAGGGAATCTCCATTCCCTCTTACTTGGAGTGCAAAATTGGGCTTTATGATAAATGAGGCAAGGTGGGCTGGACAATGCCATTTGCTCCATGTAGGAGGTTGGAAACACTTTATGGATGTATTCACACTCACATTTAAGGAATTTAATACATTTAAAACCACTGCCTGAAAGTGAGTTTTACAAGCTACTCATCACATATGAGGGAATAATATTTTGTGTTCCAACTCTATAAAGATTGATGGACCTAGTATACTTTCAAGTTTCTAAGAGTAAAATATGGTTTCAGAAATGATCCAACTTCCTAGTAATCTAATAGTCCTGCTCCACTGTCTTTGAACATCCACAAGGAGCAAAATTATATTCCCATGTTCTTGGTAGTAGTGGGGTTTTTTGTTGTTGTTATTTTTCTTTTTTTTTTTTTTTTTTTAAGGTTGTTATGTACTGAAGGCTTTTTTTTCATTCATCATTCATTTGGATATGCAAAATCCAGACCTGCAGAACTGTTCCATGTGGTGAAGAGTCTGCTGAACCCAGACTGTTTTGCCTGAGTAGCAGATTTCCATATATCTCATTATGAGGCACTTTTTTGATATTTGTTTAGACTCTGTTACATTGGAGGGATATTCGCCACTGTAGACCCTTATACCTCTTGAAGTCATATGCTATCAAAAACTGAAGAAAATACACCAGCAGATCCTGTTAGAGAATATAAGACTTATTTAGCAGAGAGGATGTTTGTTTCCAACCAATTTAAGCTTTTATGGAAACAACATTTAAACAGGAAGCCTTAAGTCATTTAGCTTTTCACGTTTTTTAATTGTACCCAACAAGATTCTGGATGTTTAACGAATGATGTAAGGCACACCATATAATGCAGATTGATGTCCCTTTTGGTTGATAGGAGACTATAAGAAAGATTTAGGTCAACAGTGCCAAAAGAAAGCATAGTGGACTTYAGTTGTAGCTTTATACAGGCCAGTTTAAATAAAAAGTGCTTGATCTTTACATATTGAAGAAGCTGTTGTCCTCAGCAGTAGTGGGCATCTCTCAATCTTCCTGTATATTATAAAGGCAGTTGATTAAGCTGAATAAATGCATCTCTGGTATCCTCTTATTTCTATTATTTGGGGTTTGAGTCTTTATGTTGTACATGGACTGAGTTAATTTCTTTGTCCATTTTATTTCCTTCCTGGGATGAACAGAATCATAGAATCTATAATCACAATTTAGAGGAAACCTGTGGAGCAGACCAAAACTTAGGAGAGATTGCCCACAGTCTTATTCAGTTGAGCTTGGGTATCTCCAAAGATGTAGATACCACAGCTAGTATTTGATTGCTCACTTGTCATGGCCCTTACATGAAGAGCAGGTCAAAAAAAGAATTCTGAGAGGTGCTCGTTCATGATAAGTTTCTCCTCACTASGCTTTGGGTTGCAAAGTAAAATAATTGGATATCCATAGGGATGTGATCGTCTGTACAGTCAGTTATGATTGACCTGATGGTATTAATTTGAACACCWAGGATAAGGAGGAGAATATTCTTTGGCCATTTAGAAACCGTGTTACTAAATAACTTGGTGGACTGTGACTAAGTTGCTAATGGCTGTTGAAAGATGTTTCCACTGTCCAGTGTATGAGARAATCAAAATCCTCCCCTTCCAGCTCTAACAAGATGCCTTAACTACAATGCTTATTGAGGAGGACTTAAAAAAAACATTAATTGTTGACAATGAAAAATAGTTTCTTGGAAAAATGCTTTTCATTGATGATATTGATTAAAAGGGGGAGAAGTAGGATAACATAATTGTATAGACAGTGTCACTCAATACCTGTTGTATCACCATGGCATAATAAATACATTTCCTTGTTACGGAACTCATTTTTCAATTTAGAGAAAGAAGAGAAAATGTAAAGATCACTTTGAAATCCTAAGGACTCGGTGATGTACTTCTAAATAACTTTCTTTCCAGTGCTCTTGGAGGATCATCCGCCCTTCACATCCCAGCCTTTCCTGGTGGAGGTTGTCTTATCGACTATGTACCCCAAGTATGCCAGCTACTAACAAACAAGGTAAGCTTATAACTTACCTTGCCCTACACGTTGTACTATAGTAACACACTATACCACTTCCATAGGCATGTTTTTTCCTCTGTCAGGTGGTTCAARTAAGGTGTACTTAAGGTAAGCTATCCAAGGAGTAACTTCCAGCATAATAATTGGGCACCAAAAGAGTGTGGTGAATGTAATTAATCTTTCAGGTAAATAAGCCTTCATATCATGCCCTGGATTTGGTGTTTGGATTGTGATTTGTTACAGTTAGAATAAAATGTTATTGTAGCTCTTTTGCTAGAAAATGCAAAAGTATAGTTCATCTCTTAAAACTCTATCTAAAGTGTTGTACCATAATCATCATTGGAGATTTTGACAGTATAGGAAACAATTCAGTGGTTTTCATCTTAGATATTTACCCCAAAGTAACTTACTCAGCAGCCTRCTAGGATGTTTATAAAGTAATAGCTGCTTAGTGTTGCATGTACTRAAAAGTTTGTGTTCTGGTTGACATAATGTTTTGAGAAAAAAAGAACAAATATGTATTCTAAAGTCTTTTCCATTATTTGAGTATAACCTTCAATATAAAGCTTAGGAGCCCTCATCCAGGAATCTATCTATTATAGACTTCCCATTTGTATTTAGATAGGATTTTCACTATTGTTTGTCCAAAGGAGAAAAATAAAATCATCTTTCAGAAAAAGTTGTTTAAAAAGTGCTTCCATAATTATATTGGAATCTATCTTTAGAGTTGTTTTTGTTGTGGTTTTCTGTTAAAATTACTTTCTGTTTTTAAAATCTGCATGCACACAGGACTGTTTTTATCCTTTTTTAAACAAAGTCCCTTAAGCAAACTTATCATATGTTTTCCTTTTCCCAAAATAACATTTCAGATCCCACACAAAGCCTTCAAAATAATCATAGTTTTCATAAAATTAAATAAGTCTTATTTTATAAATAGAATAATTTTACTTTAAGGGGTACAACGTAGCTCTCGGCAATGATTGTATCAAGGCCTTTTCAAAAAATTTAGAAAAGCATTTGCCAGCTAAGGAATTCTGATATTACCATAGCCAAGATAAATAACATGTGCATATATTCCTCCTTTTCATGTTCAGTGGGGAGAAAGTCTTTTAAAATGTTAGTTTTCATTCTGGAAGGCAAAGGGATTTACATAAGAAATCCAGCATGGAGTCATTCTGTTTGTAACTGGTTGTAAACCAGATGCTCTTTCAACCTGGCAGGGGCAACGTGTGTGTTGTTTCTGCTACGGGTCGTACCCTGTTCGTGCTACCCAGCTAAGCAGTCCCATTCAAATCAGCAAGAAAACATACACAGCTCAAAGAGAATTTTGCCTCAAGTCTTCCAAATTTAGCATTGTTGGATTTTGTCTGTGCCAGGATGGAAGCCTTTTGAAACYCCAAATGCCTCAGAACTTGATGCTCACGACTGAGTAGGTGGCTCCCTGAGTCAGCATGAAACCAGTGAGGAAGCTCAGTGTAAGGAGATTTTGTTGGAGGTTCAGTCTTCAGAAGACACCTGAGATCACATCAGTGATTTTTTTTTTCTTATAACCAGGATGTTATTTTGACACTTACATGGGTTATTGTATTTTGCCTATCACAGCTTCGTGCTCCAACTTCAGGTAGGCAAGGCAGTGCACTTCTTTTCTTCACTCTTTACCTTGCTTAGTTAAACTGTGCTTCAGTGGATTGTGAAATACTGCTTTTTGCATAGAAGTGAGTGAAGACATTCCTGTGTGTGCAAGATTTTCTGTGTACAAGATCCACTCTTTAGTTTAAAGCTAATTTAGGATAAATCATGCAAGCTAAATGTAGGATTCAGAATTATTACTATGTCAAAAATAAATCTTCCTTAACAAGGAATATATGACAAATTGAGAACACTTAGTTTTTCTAAAGTTTTTATAGCTTTGGATTTTCTTTTTCTTTAAGGTACAGTATGTTATTCAGGGATACCACAAAAGAAGAGAGTATATCGCAGCTTTCCTGAGTCATTTTGGAACGTAAGTTTTCTTTTAATGGATTATATTTTGTAGTATGGGAAAAGATGTTATTTTCTGCACATTGTCTTTGATTATGTAACTAATTTCTAGTTTGTAATTTGAAATTTGGCCATTATTTTTTCAGAATGATGTGTATGCATTCTCTCTAGATTTTAAAATTGATATGAAGTGTTACTTCACTTAAGTGTCAGCTGCCAATCTGATTTTACTCAGAAAACCTGTGCAAAAGAACCTTTTTTTTTTTCTTTTTTTCCCCCTCCTGGAAAAAAAAGTAGTGTTTGAAGTGCATTAGGGATAGAGAAGTGGGGTCCAGTTCCAAACCTAGCAGGAGCCAGAACCTGCAGTTTGGCTTAAAGGCTGGCAGACCCTCTGCTCTCACATTCAGTAATTTCTTATCCATTGAGAGAAGGGGCCATCRTTTCCTCTTGAATTCCTGCAGTTGGAAGGTCCACAGCCTGACATACCTGAGATGTTGACACATGAGAGTCACGAATCACCTGACTGGAGTGCCTTACCCCTGTGAAAGGGAGGAGCTTTGGTTTTTCCCCCTGAATTCTGATTTCAGGAAGTGTCCAGGAGCTGATGTGACATGGATTACCTCATCAGCTCTGTCTTGCCACATTGTGCGGAAGGATTTCTCCTTCTCCTTGGTGATTCCAAACTCTGTGAATATCAGAAACACCTAAAGCTCAAGTATCTCAAAGAGTAGAAAAAGAGTTTTTGATATGCACACAAATTTTGTACAGCTGTAGGTAGATAACAATGACTTGAACTTGATGCAGACCCTGGACATGTAATGTGTTTAAAAATATGACYTTTTTTTCTTCTGAAAATTATTTGATTCACTCTAGAGTGCAGAAATGGCCCAGGTGTGCCAGGTTTCTTTGCCACCTTTTCATTTCCCTTGTGAAGCACTTTCAGAGTTCTGATACTGCTTCACACTTCTAGCAAATGCCATCTTCTGATCGCTGAAGGCTTTTTGTTTTTTCTACTGAATCAGTATTCAGGCTATATTTCTTTTTGTTATACTTTTATGCTGAAGCTTTTCTTATATATTTTCTTTTGAATTTTCAAATTTAAAATCTACTGCTTTGCATTTTCAATTTTATCTTATGTCCCCTATTGCAGAGATGATAATTTATCTTCATATGAGTAACATATGAGGTACTTTCTACTAATGTACACTTACCAACAATTTATTACTGCAAATGTCATTAGCAGCTCTCATTATATTCTAAAATGTATTTGTGTAAATTGAATATAACTTTTTTATCAGGTAAAGAACCTCCAGTACAGCAACATAAATAAGAAAATTATTAAGCTTAAAAATTTARTTGAAGTTTGGCTACAAAATTATTGCAGTTAGTAAAATTAGTATTGGAAATTTCTAAAGAGACAAGCAGAAGAAAAACAAACACAATAATCCAGGCTTTACATTTTTATTACATAGTAGTGGAATTAATGCTATGTAAAAATTGAATTCATTTTTTTATGTTTCTTGTTGCTAGTGGTGTGGTGGAATACGATGCAGAAGGCTTCACAAAACTCACTCTGTTGCTGATGTGGAAAGACTTTTGCTTCCTTGTTCACAGTGAGTAACTCTGCCTCGGGCATAAATTTCTATCCTCTTGAAGATATGAGTTCAAAAGGRAAAAAATACAATTACAGGAAACAATTTAAAAGTTTTAGCTATTTTTATCCAGTGCTTAATGTATTTTTGATGTGTCCGTGACACTTCGAAAACACAAAATCTTGGTTATGCTTGGAGAGAGGAGCTTGCTTTATGGATAGCACATTCTGCCTGCTTTGCAGAAAACCAAAGGTGTTCTGGGAACTTTCTCTAGGAACTTCACCCAGACTTAAGCTCACAGCTGTAACTTCTGCTATCAAACTGTCAACAAGGCAGCAATAATGAGGATATGTGATCACTGAATACCTAGAATGATGTATAGTTGTTAAGAGTTAATACATTGATAGGGCTAGTAGTGACTCTTGAGTGTAGGGAAAATACATTAAGAAAATTATTTTTAAAAGGTGCTGTTACTTAAATATATAGGAATTACTTTATGTAGAGTGTGGTTCTGTTGCTGTCTTACATATGTTAACTTAAACAGAAATTAATATTTTTCCCCTTACAGTAATGTGAAAAATCACAGCTTTCAAAGGTATTTTGATTTGGGATAATTCAGTCATCTTAGACTTGAACCTTACAATTCTTATCTCTTTGTTTAAAATAATTACAATACAAAATAGATATCTGCAACTATTAAACTGTTATTGGTTCATGCTTTAGCTCTGGAATATTTCGTATTACATTTGTTTTGATTATGGGTTAGCTTTCCATGTGGAAAAAATAGTGACATCTTAATTTATACCAGGTTTTTAGAGCAAGAAATGAGAACTGCTGTTATTCAGAGAGATCCTGTGCCATGTTGTGTAAAAAATCCAAAAACAGTCTCACAGATCCTCTTCTTCTTATCATCTAGGAGATTGAGACTGTAAAGAATTCTGTTCTTCAGAAGTGTAGAAAATACAAATTTGAAATCAGTTTGCAGYGTGTTTATATTATTTACATTGTGGAAAACACAAAATGAATCTGATACRGTTGGAGAAATTGCCCTTATTACATCTTTTTTCTTTTTCATTATTATACAGTTTCTCCTACGGGATGCTACTTTTCTTTCTGTACAACCTTCTTGAAGATTCCCAAGTTAGTCCTGAATACATTTAATTTGCATTTATTGGTGTTAATAATTGTGGATTTGATTTTGCCTCAGGATAATATAACTTAATGAATGGTGAAGCAGATAGTTTTCAGGGGAATCAAAATTCAAATGTCTGTCAGATAACAGAGTAGATTTTAACTGTAAAGTAATATTCAGAGTGCTCAATTTAACTAGCATAAAGCCCATGAAAGCTACAATTATAACTGAATGGTTTATCACTATGTATTAACCCTGTGGCCTTAAAAATCATACAGTAGCTTAGCTCTATAAGCCATTGCATCACTTGCTTGTTGAACAATTCCCTGCAAAAACCATTTTTGTTTCATGTACTAAAGGATATTGCAATGAAAGGACTGAAACCTGCACTTCATTTCCTGAGTGAAGTAATGCAGGCTTTCATCTCTTAACCACTGACATTACCATGTATATTATGGTTGAATATTTAGCAAGCGTCTAATAAAATGTCTGGGAGAGATAGCCATGAGTTGAAACTGTTCTCCTTTATTTATCTACTAGTATGCAGAGAAAGCATTCAAAGAAAAATAAATAGGCTGTGTACTGCAAGCACTATGGCAGATCAAGTGAAAGGAACCAGAGCAAATTTTACTGGTGTCTTAATTTAGGCTAAAAATTTAGACTTAGGGTGAGATTATGAGCTATTTAAACTCTATTTATATATTTATGGGTGAATTTTTTTTCAGATATTTTCATCAGAGTTTCAAACTTCTTCAGAAACCAGCAAGTGAAAAATACTAAAAATGATCTGAAATTATTCAGAATAGTTTTACTGAGTAAATTGAGTTAAAGAAAAAGAGGCTTTCTGGACAGAAACTGGAAATAAACTGGAGAATAATTCTGGAGTGCAAAAGTCCAGAAATCTCAGAACAGTTTTTCTTGCTAAAAAGAAATACATGTATATGGCTTGTTCAATCATTACAGAATGAGCAAAGTCACAAAGTCTCCCCCCTTACCTTAAAACACAAGAGAATTACCTAGTTGTCAACTTAATCATGAAAATAATGTACCAGCTGAAGTTATTCTATTAGATCAAAGAGTACTCAATGGAACTATTGTTTTAGTGGTTTAGTTCTAAGATTAATCAAGTTCTTTCAAACACATAGCAGAAGCAGTGAACTTTCAGAGAAGCTCTTGAGTTCATGTGGAAGAGGAAGTCGTTAATCAGGCTTAATGCTCTTGGTATTGATCTTGTTTACGTGTAAACTTGAGCATGAGGTTCTGTAAGTAAACTTCAATGTACTGCTCATTTCTTTCTCTCCTTAATTATATATCAGCTATGATTTGTTTCTTGACATATGATAGATGTTCCATGCAAAGAGTCTGTGTGTATACCTTATGTAAATGTAGACACAAATAAGGATGCACAAGTAAGAATTAAATAGTCATGCTGGTATGGACACAAGAGTAGGACTTCAAACCAATTTCTAAATAGAGTTTTTAAAATTTAATTTTTATCTTACAAGATTTTTAGGATATCAACACAAAGGACTCTGACAGCAGTTCAGAATGATTGCTATTTAAAATACTGTGCAAGACATCTTGAAAAAGACAAAATGAAAAGGTTTTGTTTCAGTGCACAGTGTTTATGGGGATGGAGAATGTTGGGAATTCCTGCTCTTTCTATCTTAAGTTTATATGCAATCTCCAAGCTAGCTGAAGTTGATGGGAACCCTTGCCACTTTGGCTAATTGCAGGGATATTTGACCTCTGTGTTCAGTAACATCAGTGACAAGGTGGTCATGTGAAAGGTAAAAGCGTAATTAACTTCCTCGCTATGGGAGTGCCAACTGAAGGAGCTTTTTGTCCACCCTTCTAGCTGTCTGTGCACTTCTGTGACAACCTGTATTAAAGAACAGAAGAGAATGGGCAGCATTAGGCATCTCAAAAGAATGCTTTATTTTTATTTTATTTTTATTTTTTTTTTATTTTCCGCCCTCTGGGAAGCAGAAGCAGGCATAGGGCCTTGGAGTCTATATCTGGATGGTCTGGCTGTGGGCAGGCAGCCTTTCTGAATTCCCCCTCTTTGATACAAGCCATCAATGCCAGCTTCTGCTACATTCCTGTTTGGATATTGCTATCTGCACAAATTTGTCAGCAGAACAATTTGTGACAGCTCTGTTGAGACAGCTTCTGTGGTTTGCATTGATGGCCTGAGCTAAGCAACTGGGAATTGCTCACATGAACCCCCTCTGGATCAAGATTAGCACATCTGCCTGCAGTCTTGGAAAGGAAGCAGAAAGCAGCTCGAAAAGTAAAGACACAGRCAAAGAATTTTTGGTAACCGTGTTGTCACATGAGGGTGATGGGAGATGGAGAGGGGAAGAGTTTGCAGGGAGAAAGCTGGAAAGACAGGTTTATTACACTCCTGTGCAAGGAAACCAGCTTGTTCCAGGAGCGTTCAGAAAAATAGCAATGCCCTGTACATTAACAGAAATTACTTTGAAGCACTAACTCAGTGTCGTCTTGAAACAGAGACAAGCCATGATGCTTCAGAGATRGGTTTATTCACTCAGGAGGGCAACAGTAATCCTTAGAATGTAGATATTTGCCGACTTTTCCAAGAGCTGATACAGGTTAAGATTTTACTTACCTCTTGAAGAAGATTGTGCCTATCTGGAAAGTCAGTTGAACTAGTGCACATTGTGAACTGCTTCAGCTCTTCCTCCAGCAGCAGCTTAAATAAACCAGTGAACTTTGTAGTAGTAAATTGCTGCTGAGGAGGTTTGGTAAAGTCTTAAATGGAAGTTGTTTGCTGGGTGAACATGTGTCTGATCACTTAATGTTTGGTATTTGAGTTTAGGAGAGCTTATGAAACAAGCAATAGTATTTTCTTTCATACAAGATTGTACTTATTATTTTCCTTTCTGAAATTGTTTCTGCAGATTCYTGTTTCAAAAATCACATGCCTACCACACAAACTCCAGAGCTGCTGAGATAATAAAAGTGTTTAAGGAAGTATTGTTTGAGTAATTTGGAACCCCAGGCGTAAAACTATTTCCTGTAAACGTGTTAGTAAACTTTATCTGTCAATAGTTTTGGCTCTAAAGTCCTCTCCTATGTAGGGACCTTTAGGTCTTGTTAAATGTGAATGTTAAAGTAGTTCATGTTTGTTGTTTTGATGTAGTTTTTAGTGCCGCAGGAATAGGCTCATTGGCTGAGGCTCCTAYGTGCTGCAGGAGTGTGAATAATCATTTGAGTGGGTTTGGTAGCTTTAGAGAATTTTCATTGTTTTTTCTTTCATGTTAGACTTGCTCGTATGTCTTTTGGAAGCTCCTCTTGATCAGTATCAGCACCTGGCAGTGATCGTGCTTAACACTTAAAATTCCAGGAAAAAACCTTGGAGGGAAATGAGACTTCATTAGCCTCAATTTAGTTAGTTGGTCTGTGCAAAAAGAAGCCTCTACAAGAAGAGGTATGGGAGAAGAGACTGATTTTTTCCCCCTGCCGTTTTTCTGAGAAGGGGCAAAATGTTCAGTATTTACATGAGAGAACTTTTATGTGTTTTCATGTCTTGGTGGACTTTCTGAAGAGGTTTTTTGACTTACTAAATGGTGCTTATTTTAAAATTATTCTCGTTGTTCCTTAAATGAGAATGGGAATGTATGATTGTATGGAAACCAAGAGGGAAGGAAAAAAGACAGCATGTGACAATGTAAGTAACACAAGGTATAGGAGAAACAGAGTGTCTGGTCATCTCGGGGGGAAAAAAAAAGCAGCAGAGATATCAAGCATAAAAAATAAATATTTCAGGAGTCCAGTCCAGAGTGAGATGCTCCATACTGATTTTAAAAAGTCAAAAGTCAGCAAAGTTTGGATGGAGAAGCTGTTTCACTCTTAGAGAAACTGA